ACTTGGTGGAGGAGGAGAGGTTCTTCTTAGGTTAGTTTACGTTGGGTTTCGTCGTTCCCCCTACCGTTGCAATATGATAGTTTACGTTGGATTTACTCCCCCCTCCACCTCTTGGCCCATTACCACGGTGGTGGGTCGGGTGGGTGAAGCGGGGGAACCAGAATTCCCATTTTCACCCTACTTACGTATGGACTGTAATTTTTCCGGCTCTTTGTCTATGCCTAGCCCATGGACCCGGTGCCTAAAAAAAGAAATTTCGAAGAACCCGATCTTACACTTTTTAGTTTGGCATGTTAGGCCGTGACGCTTTAAGCGTTTTAGAACTTTGCTAAGGTGGTCTAAATGTGTTTTTGTACACTGTCCGAAAATATTAAAATATCGTCCGGATAGACCTGAACAAACTCATCAAAGTACCACCATGGTTGCATTTTTAAGTCCAAACGGAAGTACACGAAACTGATATAAGCCTTTTTTTTGTTTTAAACATGGTGTATTCGCGTACGTTTTGCTATAAAGAGCATATCCAGTAACCCTATTTTAAGTCGAGTGTCGTGAAAACTTTCGTCCCCCTCATGCTTCTAATAATTTCATTTAAATTAGGCATAGGATATGAGTCTGATACTGTCACTTCGTTAAGTCACCGATAGTCGACATATAAGCGATAGGAGCCGTCTTTTTTCTTAGTCAGCACGACTGGTGCTGACCAAGGGGAGGTGCTGGGTTCTATGAGGCCCTGCAATTCCATGTCGTCTACCATTTTGTCTATCACTTGTTGTTTGTGTAGCGGGTACGGATATGGTTTTTGTGCGATGGGCGTCGGGTCTTTTAGAACGATGTTATGTTCGATAAGCTGTGTGCGTCCACTATGTCGTTAAAAACCGCAGAATAATTGTGTATCGTGTGCGTTAATATATATATATATACATGTACTTTATTTAATACTTACCTGTATTCCAAATTGACTCTTCCAAATATATGGAATTAATAAAATTTTCTGTGTCAAAAGACATGATAGATAGAAGACAAACAAGGAAATAAATCCAAAATAATACGTGAAAATAGATTGAATGAACCCTCACGTGCTCGAAAATCGCAGCATTTAATCGTCCCGTGTGAATGATAACATGCGATTTATATTGTTTAATTTTAGCGATCGGTCGAGTCCGAACGCATGTTTTTTTTTTATAGTGTGCAAGGTTCAATTAAAATGCGGGTGTTTTATATAAAGCGATTAATGGCCGCGTTCTTAAAAACGCATACACGCGCGATTAAACGCCTAGTATGTAAGCCTCTTAAATGTGACGAACGCTGTGGTTTAATTACCCCACCTGCCTACCGGTTGTATCGAAACAATTAAACGAGTGTATTCGCGGCGTTGATACAACTCAAGTTTGTCGATGCGCATGTGTATATAGATACAGTAATCGCCAGAAATCCACTTGTACCGTGTTTAATAATACACAGAAAGTGGAAATCTATTATTTGCGCAGTGGATGTATGACGATCTGTATGACCGGGTGGAATTTTACGGCTGTCACCAGTGAACTGTGTGATTGAAATAATTTGGAAAAAAGTGAATTTAAAGGAAACCTAGCTGTCTTATTTGAAAAATAAAAATCAAGTCAGAAACTGGTTTTCTTACTTTATCCAATGTAAGACCGGTTGAGATCTTTACGGGGAGCCAGTTGACACGACTTACGTTGCAAAAATATGGTCGACACTGGTTTTGAGGGTAGAGACACGTGGGCCGTTTATTAATGAGTAACAACAGGTTATTTTAACAAAAGAAATAAAACAAAACGAAAAGATGAACACATTATTAATAATCTTCGAACAATATCGCGGCACTTTCGCTGGCGTCGACGATGCGATGTCCGGCGTGATCCCCGGGCGTCAAAAGGTTAGCAGCGTTGATGGCGACGGTGCGTGGGTGCGCATCGGTTCGTCGACATTGTCACTTTCACAACGGGAAGAAGACTGCTGTCTCGTTTGAGGCAGGTCATCGTCGGCCGTTCGGCACTTGTTGGACTTTGCTCAGTGGCGTATGGCACGCAATGTTGGTCAGTCAAACACTCATAATAGGGCGACGGCTAATAAAGGTGGCACGAGTCGCGGGGCATCGTGTATAACGATGCGATGCGGGGCCGTGTCAATGTACAAACAGAGAATCAGATTTAACGCGTCCGTTCCCATTTTATCTTTTTCATTAAAAGTCAATCGAATCTTTTTTTTATTATTGTTCTTGTTTATCGATATTTATTATAAAAACCTATTATTAATAGTATTATTTAACACATTAGTTAATTAAATTAGTTATTGGTGAACATCATATAATTAAGTGTAACTGCTCAGCAATTGGTAATGCGGTGTTATTGTCTAAGTGGTGTTAATTTCGTGGTGAATCAAAACTAATTTTGAACATTATAAATCAGTATTAACATAAGTAAATCTTCCTAAATAATGCAGTCGCACATCCCCTTTTTATATTTTATCCGTTGTACAATCGTTCATAACAAATTATCATTGTGATAACAATACGCCCAGCTGGCCACTACAGTACTGTCAACAATTCAACCGATCCCAGATGTCTGTCAACTAGGCATGCACTGATGTCGGCGTTTGTTTCCCCTTCCGGTCCATGTGTGTCGTCGCCGTCAAGTGGTCTGGCCGTTTTGTTCAAATGTGTTTTGGCTGTTCGTTCCAATCTGTCTCCAGCCATCTACGTATTTTTTCTTTTGTATACTGAACATATCATGGCTGCTTAACTTCTGGCGAACTGGAGATCGAGCCACGGGTGAAGATTCATTTGTTGGCTACGGCCTGGACATCATCATAATTATAATTTGGTAACTTTGTACAGCATTCCCATCTTTCTTTATTTTCGTCCATTTCATTTTCCTCTATTCGTGCATTGTCACGATGTTTCTTTAAAAATAACTTAAATGACATTAATATATTTTAAATATTTTAATATGATTATTCTATCTGATCTCTTGGCACATTTGCTCATTGACTATTGGTAAATTATTGTAAAATATCATTTTCTTCCATCCGGTAATTATTTTTGTCATGTTGAGTATAATAAAACCTCACATGTGTTGGACCAATCTAGACGTGCTTAGCAGGCTCAAGGCTCGGTATAAAAGGCCTAGATCCATATTGACCGATGTCAAGTTATTCGTTTGAGCATTATTGCAATGATAACCATATTATTTTATTCAATATTGAAAAATACGCTCCTAGCCCTTGGTCAAATCGAACATAGTCAATACAGCAGTGTCAAAGATTATTTTCTCCCTCATTTCCTTTTTATTTTGTTTGTCCATTTAAATCAGTTAATAATTTGTAATAATTTTAACTATGACTTGAAATATGTTGTATAAAAGAATTTGTAATTTTATTTTATTTTGAACATTTGTAATACATAAATAATGTATTACAAATGCATTAATAATATCTTACGTATATTAAACGTATGATTTCAAGAAGTGTATTGAAAATAAATATTCATACAATTATTAATATCACAAAAATAATAAATAGGTTTAAAAAACAGAACAATCAATTTTTTACAATCAACGAATTGAACGATATTAAAAACATTGAATAATTACACATCTAGTTAAAAATAAATCATTTAAAAAAAACCCAGCACAGGGGGGTCACGGCACAGTGGTGATGTGGCATAGTTGGATCAAGTATAATGATATCTGACAGTGATTAAAATCACTATAAAAAAAAACGCTTCNCACGGCACAGTGGTGATGTGGCATAGTTGAATCAAGTATAATGATATCTGACAGTGATTAAAATCACTATAAAAAAAAACGCTTCGATGCAAATCTTTAGATAGTGTTTAATTTTAAAAAATTGGTAGATTATTCCAAAAGCTACATGATCTGCTATTTTCTTATTAATATCCTGAATGAAAAAGGGATTATTAAAAAATATTATTTCTCATAAAAAAATTGTGTGGAACCATACATTTTTCAATAAGTTATAGCCAGAGTTCGGGACTTATAGAATTTGCATATTTTTTTTATTTATTGTAAAATGTAGCAAAGTGAGGAATAAATTCATTTCTCAATACTGTTATACAAAATCGAAAATTTGAATGTGCATATTTTTGCATATTTTATAGATTTTGCAGAAAAGTGCTTATTTTAACGTTTTTGTGCTTATTTTGCATATTTTGGAAAATTATTAAAATTTTCAAATTTACAATTGTCAACCAATCAAAAAAAGAAATAATAATGCAGTCTTATGTACTATTTGCAATATACAAGTCACAATCCCTTTTAATTTTCGTGTTGGAAAAATATCTTCATTTTTAAAAAGTATGAAGGCCCATATTGTTTGTATCGCTACATATAAGATTTGTTACGATACGGGCGATACGACAATTATATAATATAACGTATTTATAAAATGTTCTGTGAAACTAAAGGTATTCCCGGTAAATATAGTTCGGACGGCTAGCGCCGATAAGGCAATAATAGTTATTTAGGTAATAATTTCGAATATTTGTTCAGCCGCAACGTTTATCCGTTGCCGTGAATTCACTTGCGTGCTTATTATCGCGTTACATTTTTTCATAAACATAATATACTAAAAATGGGGAAAGTAAAACAATCCACTAGTGCGCGTTTGAGAAACTATGTGTCTGAATTTGNGCGTTTGAGAAACTATATGTCTGAATTTGGATCAGAAATATTATCTACTAATGGGTTTGTATTATTTTGCAAAGTTTGTGAAATAAAGATTAATTTCGAAAAAAAGTTTAACGTAAGCCAACACATTAGAACTGAAAAACACGTTAAAAGTGCCAAACGCCAAAAAGATCAAGTTCAAAGGAAATCACAACAACTTTTAACCAATCAATCTACCAAATCAGATTTTAATAAGGATTTATGCGAAGCAATGGTGGCCGCGAACATACCGTTTAATAAACTTTCAAACAATANTCAATGTTGGCCGCGAACATACCGTTTAATAAACTTTCAAACAATATATTTCGTTCATTTTTTAGAAAAATATACGGGTAAAAGTATTCCATTTGAAACTTCCTTACGAAAAGGATATATTGACGACATCTACAACCAAGTAATGAATAAAATTAGAATTGAAATTGGAAAAGATCAAATTTGGGTGTCAGTTGATGAAACATGTGATGTACAAGGACGATGTGTGGCAAACGTTATTGTTGGCATTCTTAAGCCAGATTGTGTTGGTCATTCATTTCTTTTGCACTCGGAAGAGTTAGAAAAAACAAATCATAATACTATTTGTAAAGTCTTTAATAAATCAATGATCATTTTATGGCCTGGAGATATTATGTACAACAACGTCTTACTATTCTTATCCGACGCAGTTCCTTACATGGTGAAGGCCGGTTCAGTTCTTAAAAATTTATACACCAAAATGATACACACCACCTGTAGTGCACACTCACTTCATCGGATAGCTGAAAAAATTCGTGGACAATTTCATCTTGTTGACGAGCTTATATCAAATATGAAAAAAAAATTTCGTAAAGCCCCATACCGTATTGCATTGTTTAAATCGATAGCTCCAGAAATTAGATTATCACCAGAACCTATCTTAACGCGTTGGGGGACATGGCTCGAAGCCGCAATTTATTACTGTGAAAATTTCCAAATAATATGTAGCGTAATAAATGCCCTAGACGAAAATGATGCAGATTGTATTAAAAAAGTTAAATTATGCATACTGAAACCAGGATTGGAAAACAACTTGACTTATATCAAAAGTAATTTTCAAGTTATTACAATGGCCATTGTGAAATTACAAACGAAAAACCTTCCATTGGCTGATTCACTTTCTGTAATTCAAGAAGTAAAATCAAAATTTCAATCATTAAAAGGAACTCAAGGAAAAGCAGTACTTTTAAAATTACAAAAAGTTTTTGAAAAGAATGAAGGTCTTAAAATTCTGGAAAAAATATCAAACATTTTGGAAGAAGAAGATGAAATTTTGGATATGAGTCAATTTCATTTATATTCATAATTTAATATTCATGCAACGACTTTGTGTTCTTTAAATATGCACCAACCACTTCAGTGGATGTAGAGAGGTCATTTTCAGCTTACAAAACTCTGTTATCTGACAATCGAAGAGCATTTACATTTGAAAACTTGCGGAAACATTTAATTATTCAATGTAACAACAAAGGTAAGACAATAATTAAAACAATATTATTTATTCATTGATTTAAATGAAAAATTCATTTTTTAATTTTCCTATTATTTAAAGCTAACGAATAAATTTTAAAAAATGGGAAATTTAAGAAGCAAGTGAAAAATTATTTAATTTTATTAAAATATTTTAATGTTAATCTAATTGTAATGAATAATTATTAATAAAATAATAAATATATAAAATGTATATTTTTTAATTTTTTATGCAAATTCTACGGTTTTTAAGTGCATATTTACGGTTTTAAGTACATATTTTAGCACTTATTATTGTGTTTTTAAGTGCTATAAGTCCCGAACCCTGGTTATAGTAGTATAAAGTTAAAAATGTAAAAAATAAAATCGAGAATTTTCGTACAATAATAGCATTCGGTAGCCATTTTCACCGTGAAGACAAGTCTAGAGGTCAAATTTTTTTTTTCAAATTAAAGTATATTACATTAGCTTTAATTTAAGATATATATAAAAGTGTCAGACCTTCCGGAACACTTTCAAAAGTCAAGTTGAAAAAGTAAATTTTTCGTGAAAAAGTTGTAATTTTAAATCCCCCCCTGTGGGCAGATAAAGGGTTAAATTTATAAAAAAAATATATGCCAAATGATAGGTAAAGACATCAATCATCTATAAAAAAAAAATTATATTTATATGTTCATTTTTGAAAAAGTTATGGCAGTTTTAAGTAAAAAAAATTGAAATCTTTTGACGAGTTTCAGCATAAAAAATTGGAGTTGTGGGATTAATATCAATATCATAAAAAATTAATAAATCATAATGTAAATTAAATGAAATAAACTTGTTTTTATGAAAAAAAAAAAAAAAATTTTAAATATACACATTTCATTATATTTTAATGAATGTTTTGCTATTGTTTAATGCATATTTTCATCATTTTTGGCACTCAAAACTCCGAGTCTTGTTTATAAGGTATGAGGAAAGAAATAAAAAAATACTTAATAATTGATCAATCAAGAAAAAAATTATTTTAAGAAATATTAAGCTAAAATTTTGTACATAAAAATTATATTTTTTTCAATTTCGTCGGCCATTCACACATAAAACATAAGGTTTATTGAACTTAACAAGTTTGTAATTCAATATCTTAATATTTATTATAATGAGTAAAAAGAAAAATAAACCACAAAAATAATATTCTCAAAAATAATATGCTTCAATAAATAAGACAATTACAAAAAAAATGGAGTAAATAGTAAAATTTTAATAGAAATGGATAATGGCGATTGGTCTACCTTCCATTAAAAAATCTTTTTTGGCGTTTTTGTATAATATTCATAAAATACTAAAATTTTGGTAAAAACTTAAGTGTAAATGCTATTTTAGTTTAGAAGATATTGAGTATAACTTATAATAAAAAAATTAATACAGTAAATTAAGGATAGAATGGTTTAAATAAAATGTCGACTAATATGTAACTCTACATGTATAACACCAAATAATTATTTAAAAAAAAATTTTATTTCGACAAATAATTGTTAAATCGACTAGATTTGGTTGTTACAATTAAATATCTAATTAGGATAATTGAATATATAAAGTTGACTTATTTTAAAAATTAATAACGTTAAACACTATGGAAACCAATAAATTCTATAAGTATCCTAAAAATGAAAAAAAAGAAACCATACAAAAAATGTCCATAGAAATATGTATAGAACGGAAGTTTTTAATTTTTACTATCAGGAAAACTTCTGATGAATTTGATATTGGTTTATAAGCATGCGTGAGTAACCTGTTTGCTTCGTGAACCTTTATTGACTGATAAGGACAATATCAGTTAGCTATTTAAATTAATATTATACATTTTTTAATTTAAAATAATACTTTTGTGTATTTTTTAAAACAAATTTTATTACAAAGTTGTTATTTTAGAATACTTCTTAGATAAAGAAATAGTATGGAATACGGATGGTAAGAAATTATTAAACTAAAATATTTATATTATTGTATCATCTTAGAAAAAAAAATAACACATCCCCAGTACACACAAAAAAAGTTGAAGTTTTAACTACAATAAATGATGTTTGATAGTATCCGATCGAGTTGAGTATTTTTGGAATTTATGTTAACTACATAGGACTGTTGAATTGGATGTGTAAAAATAATGAAGTTGATATTATAGTTCCCAAAATAATCTTTCAGTACCTTTCATAAACGTAAATAATAAAATAAAAAGACAATTTGTTAGATTTTTACTAAGGACATTTTTCCATCACACATATACAAAGAAAACAATTAATTATAGTAAAACATTAACATAAAAAAATAACATTATCCAGTCATACAATGCCCCACAACAAATCCTCCTCGGCAGACGTTGTTGATCGAGACCATCTGTCTTACACTTTCGTAAATTCCGATAATAATCCCGCGTGTCACCATTACTCCTTAGGTGTGTATACAGTTGGAATACTATCCCCAAGTATGAAATGAGTATTTCAATGCAATAACGGTTAGTTTTTCGCCTAAAAAGGTCAACACAAAACCACCAAGAATTACGCCAGCTCACTGGTAACGAGTCATCAGACCCGTAAATATGATCATCCCCCTTTAGTGTTGTTAGTCATGTATTGATCTAATAAAAAATTTGCTGAAAAGATTAACATAATAAAAGATTAACAACCTCATCAAAAATATAAGGGAGGATGTCGTTAGATTGTTAGATTAATCAAACATGAACGAACACGTACACATTGGTTTAACGTTTGATAACTAAAATTAGATCAGTCATCCGTTTGTATTGTTTTTTACTAAGTTTAATTCTATGAATCAATACAATATCCTTATATATCATACTTTTCAATGAGTTTTTTTACGTCCGTTACCGATAACATAATAGCCGTAAAATACCTATTAATTTAGTTGTAACTTAGAATTAATACGAATTATTGTTAATAATTAACGTGACAAATCAAGTTCAAAAATGATATAATTGCATCAACTTGTGTAATCATCACCGGTTGGGTTGGGTTTTACGATATTTGTCGCGAGAAAACTTATATAAAATAATCTTAAAACTCGCTCACTTATACCACAAATTATAATTTTTAAATTCAGTAAATAAAATTATTGAAGCTGAAACCATAAATTTATTTTTAGTAGATTTGGATTGGTTCTAGCTGCTGGTTTGTGCCATCAGATATATTATTGTAACTCACTATGGTTGTGTTTCATGTTTAAGTAACTTGTTAGTCTAGTCCTTTATTAACTGATAAAGACACAATATCAGTTTGTTGTTTGCACTAATATTATATATTTATAAATTAAAAATAGTATTTTTATGTAATATTACATACTTTTTAAAACAAATTACATTAAACAAATATTATTTTATAATATTTACCAGTCTCAAAAAGAGAAATGATTTTGATAAGTAAGAAATTATTAAATACATTTTTGAAAACTTAATAAAACTTCTATGACAATTTTATTTTATATTTTATAATTTATAATAGAGTTTTCGATACACATTTATTTCATAAATAAAAATGAATATTTTTAGCTTCGATGCGAAGCTGAGAAGGTATTGGTTTTACTAAGATGTGTTTTTTTTTTTTATTTTTTTTTTTTGTGTCTGTTACCACTTTTTCTCAGCTCTCACCGAACCAA